TCGCGAACAATGATAAGTTAGAGTTCTTCCACAGAAACTGAAAAATAATTATGTTATCTTCAGAAAAACAGAAGTAAATCTTAACACGATTAGACAGTGAATCACAGTATTTCTCTGCAAAACATTAGCAGTGTTGCGCGTACCCATAATTAATACTCAGGAAACAGTTAACATGGCCGCCGTCATTCTCGCGATATGTTGCGTAATATTTGCCTTGCTTTCAGCGAGCTAACAACTTGATATTCTTTCGTCATTTTCTGGGGGGATACTATGTTGCAGGCTTTTAGAATTGAAGCATACATCAAGACTTGTACAAATTAATTGAAAGACACTGAGGATTATTAAAGCAGTTTACTTTTGCTATATTAAAATTATTTCTACTTTGCTGCGTTGTCTATCTCTTGCACTTTCTTCCCGATTTTAGGAGACACTTACCTTGGATCTTAAAACTTCCTTGTTATTCCCTATTTGTTTGGTAACCAATCATTCCTCCTGGTGCTGACGTATTTCGAATTTTCAGTTTCATATAAACTTAATTCTTGAAAACTAATTGTCAGAGAATGCCTCAGACATCAGTGTTCCGTGATTGCTGAAACACCATAGAAAATTCTTGAATGACACTTGAATTTGATAAGTTTTGGAATCATTATCGATCATTAGCATTTGAATGCCAAGATACCTGTTCACTGAGCGTAAATCCATTAACTAAATTGAATTAAAAACGAGCCAAAGATGGTTATTAAAGGATCTTTCTGAAGACAACAGAAATTAACACAAGTTCCACTTTGCAGCAAGATATTGTAGAAACATTTAAAACCAAAAGAAAGCTGTTACAAACACAAAATCCATGGAGATGTTATGGCTGCTGAGCACAGATAATGAAATGTTTGATTTCACGACATCCATACGCGGAGTACTTTGAGGTTTTAACAAGTGTCAAAGGCCAAATATCAACTCTGAAAAAATTCCACCCTTTTGCCTCAAGCAATATCAGTTAGTGTGGCAAGATAGTTAAGGAAGGAACAAGGAAGTTAAGAATAGAATTCCCACGAGGATTAGGTGTGTAGATGTTGCAAACAGTTGCAATCCATTCATTGAATAATTTTGATTTTCCAGTTTCTGTTTAAAAGGAGTTTTTTAGTGTCTTATCAAGGAATGAATAAAGCTGATTGAAGAGCCTCATTATCAAGTTTACAAGGAAGAACAAACACATAAAAACTGGTCAAGGATGAATGAATTTTCTAAGAAATATGAATGAAAAATATAGATCCAAAAAAATTTAGACTTACGATTTTGCTGACACTTACCAATGCGCGTGTTACCCGAAATATGGGATTCCGAGAAATATCTATATTCTTTCGCTGAAACGAATACAATTAGCTCGAATGAAAATGAAAATAGGGAATTCGAAGTTGAAAAAACATATCCTTGTAAAAGCACCAAGTTTTGTCAAGAAAGGTGTTGGCTAACACAAAAACATTGGTAACAGCTGCAAACTATTCCGAAATCGCGAAGTAAAATGGTTTAACTTATATCTCATTCACACCAAAGCGTAAACATGTTTGAGAGTTCTTTAATTT